CTGATGCATGATAAGCACTTTCGATGCATGATGGGCACTTCTGATGTAGACGGGGCACTTCTGATGCTCCTTGGATGCTCCTTTTGTGCTCTGGCACTTCCTAGTCAGTGTCTGGATGCGTACTTCAGTGCACGTCGGTGCCCATGGCTCACTGGGCCATGATACATCGGTCATTCTACCACTGCACAACAGATGCCTGTACACTGCAACATCATGACACACACACACACACCCCGGGGGAATACAGACATTGCAAAACTACTTGATTCAATTTTGCACCCTCATAAGGCCATTTACAAAGATGCAACTCCCAAATAACGGCTATGGGATTCTGTCACGGTGCAGACAGGGACATCTGTGGGGGTCCAGAAACCCCAGCCAGAAAGATCCCAACCACTTCTTCCTAACCCAGGAGTTGCTCTTCTGACTACTCGGATGTTCCCGACAGATCTGGTCTCTTAATATTCCCTACAGCCTCATGAGGGCAGCTGGTATACGCAGATGTAAATCTGCTTGCCACATCTCAATCCAAGTTCATTGCAATTTCCCTCTCCAGAAAGGGTGCTTTGGATTCCCAGCCACCCAACTGTAGCCTTCGGCGTAGGTCCTCCGAAGTAAATGTTGCCACTTTGTTGTGCCTTACTCCTGAGTAGCTAGGTATAGCATTTCAACCTTCATTCTGCACTGAAAAGCAACAGCACCAGCCAGAATGGCCAACCAGCTGGACTACTGGCCTGGGGATCAATGTTCTTTCTTTTCTGACTCTCCTGAAGGCTGGAGGTGGGGCACAACAGATGAAAGCACGCAACATTATTAAAAGACCCCCCCCCCACAAGATCATAGGTGAAATGCAGCACTATAAAACCATTAAAAGCCCTTCCTAAGCGTCCCTCTCCAATTCCAAGTCATGCTTTCGAATGGACTGGGTAGGGCTGCCGGACAAGAGATGCCTGCCTTCCTTCCTTCCTGCCTTCCTGCCTGCCTTCCTTCCTTCCTTCCTTCCTTCCTTCCGTGCTGTTTGAAAAGGAGCCATGCATGCCACAGTCTGGGGCAGCGGCAGAGACGATCCTCTGGGCTTAAAGCCATCCCAGGGGGGCCAACCTTTCCCAGCGGAGCGGAGCGGAGTTCCCAGGGAGGGAAGCTGGGCCCAAACCCAGGAGGGCTGGAAAGGGCCTCCTCCTCCTCCTCCTCCTCTCCAACACTCTGGCCTTGGCCTGGAAAGCTCTGGTTGCAAGATCGGTCTGATGGGAGGACTCCCAAGGCCGGGCAACGTTCCTTTCTTGGACTGCCTCCCCCAGCATCCCCTAGCCTAGGGCTGCGTCCACACTGGAGCCATGACCCAGGTCGGCCCCGCTCCCGCTGCCCTGGCTCCAGGCTATGGGATTCTGGGCATGGGCGCCTGTGGGGCTCCGCCCTGGGCCCACCACGGACTCCAAGGCCCAGAATCCTCTAGCCTTGAGCCAGGGCAGCGGAAGCCTGGGAAGGGCTCCGGGGCGGGGCGGGGCGGTGGAGTTACCGTCGGGGGCCAATCAGCGGCGGGATCGGCGGAGGGCCTTGCTGGCGTCAGGGCTCCGGGGCGGGGCCGCCCTTGCCTTGCCTTGCCTTGCCTTGGCGGGGCTCGGGAGCCGGCAGAGGCGGCGGCTTGGCCCGCTTCCCGCGCCCGGCCGCGCGATGTTTGGCAGGCGGCGCCTCGGCGGAGATGGGTCGCGGGCAGCCGGGGCCGGAGGCACCATCCCCGGGATCAGCGCTGCCCGTCCCTTCGCCCGCCAGGAGCCCCCGACTCGACGACGCCATCCCCGCCAGGCAAGGCAGAGGAGCCCCGGCGAGCCTTGACTCCTGCGCCCGCCACCGGACGACGAGGAGAAGGAAAAGGAGGAGGAGGCGGCGGCGGCGGCGGCGGCGGAGGAGGAGGGAAGCAGGCGGC